TATATATATATATATATATTTAGACTGATAGGATAGGACAGAGTTATCAGACTGATAGGATAGGACTGATAGGATAGGACAAAGGTCTTTTATAAGAGCATATGTGATATTAGCTCCAGAAGCTACTGAAACAATCAGGGTATTATTTTGGTTTTATCCCTCAATCATATTATATATATTAGGCTAAGGTGTCCCTCTCATTCTACTTTCCATCTCAAAGATGAGAGAACCCACACTCAAAGTAATCACCCATTTGCTTGCCTTAAGGCTTCCATCAGCAGATATCAAGAGGAAGTTTGGGGGTCTTGGCTTAATATCACCCCTTTGCAGACACACATTGACACAGAGGTTGAGAGGAAGTCTGCATGGACCCTTGGAATGGCTAAGTGAGGAGCTCAGCAAATCCTTTCCCCAATTCAACTAGACAACAACTAGACAGAATTGTCAAAAACAACAATTTTAGGACTCTGGAAATTGACCAAAGGCATATATAACAAATTGAGAAGCATTTATCAAGAAAATCTACTGAGTCTCAATAAGGGCAGTAGGACTCAGTGGCATTTTGCCTGGAACTCCCAGTCCCTAGCTCCTTGGGGCAGTCATGCTGAAAGACCAGCATCTCTGCTGCCAGAGAAGACTAACTGTATGAAGCAGAGCATGGGAAATCCCATATGCACGGAGGTTAATAAACAATAATTATCCCACTGGTAAACAACAAGAGAAGACTTGAGGTCTGACTACTTGTGGGGACAGACATCAAAGATCCAGGGACCAGGTAGCCAGATTGGTCTTGATAAAGTTGTAATTATCCCTGGTAGTCTGGAACATTATGTGCATGTATAAGGCTGCAAATATGTTCAGGAGAAACTGGAGGGGCCTTAGGGAGCCACTAGTCCACAGCTAAATATGAGCCCTTTTGAAGACAGAAAGTAATACCTAGGGCAAGCTTGTAAACTGGATAAATTTTGAATGTATGTTCCAAGCCACACATAGATCCATTGGCAAAAAGATAGAAGCCTTTCTTTCTTTTCTTTCTTTCTTTTTCTTTCTTTCTTTCTTTCTTTCTTTCTTTCTTTCTTTCTTTCATGTTTATTTTTGAGAGAGAGAGAGACAGAGCACTAGTGGCAGAGGGGCAGAGACAAAGAGGGAAACACAAAATCTGAAACAGGCTCCTGGCTCTGAGCTGTCAGCACAGAGCCTGACACGGGGCTCGAACCTGGGAACAGGGAGATCACGACCTGAGCCAAAGTCAGAGGCTCAACTGACTGAGCCACCCAGGCGCCCCAGGATGGAAGCCTTTCTGACCAATCATTTGCTGGTCACCAAGCTATGCTGACCCAAGGGCAGTTCCTATGAGGCCAGGCTTAAAAGTTGAAACAATAATTTTTTTAAAAAAAGAAAAGTAACAAGGAAAACCAGAAACTACACAGGGCAAGGGAAACAGATTTCAAGCCTTAATCCAGACAGGACACGCAGCAAATAATCAAAAACAAAACCTGGTAAGGTCAAAATCCAGAGTTGTTGCAATTTTTATCTAAAATCTTGTTTTCATCAAAAAATTATGAGACATGTAAGAAATAGAAAAATCTAACCCATACAGTTGAAGGACAAGTTACTATAAACTGACTTTGAAGAGGCCCAGATACTGGATTTAGCAGCTATGTTCAAAGAACTAAAGGAAATCATGTCTAAATAATTAAAGGGAGGGGCACCTGGCTGTCTCAGTCTGTAGAACATGCCTCCCTTGATCTCAGGGTCATGAGTTCAAGCCCCATGCTGGGTGTGGAACCTACTTACAATAAAAATAAAATAATAATAATAAATAAAATCATGTTAAAAAAACAATTAAAGGGATATATAATGATAGGGATTCATGAAATAGAGAATATTGATAGATAAAAATAATTTCTTTCATGTTTTGCTTAAAAATTATGCCCAGGACTCAATACTTTGTGTTGTGATCCGATATATATTGTGATTATCATCCATGGAGTATAGCAGAGATTCAGTGTTTTCTGCAGGAAAAGCATAATGGGAAATTGGAGTGCTGTTACCTTGTACACATCAGCCTATACATGCTCATTGTCCTATGTCTTCCATCGTCTTTGAGTATGAAATTCATATTGAAGAAATCTCTTATCAGGGAGTTGTTAGGTGACCTTTTACTTTAAGTTCTTTGGAATTTGGAGCTAGATTTTGGAAACAATCTACTACCGTGCCAGCTTCCTTCTCTTTTGCATATTACCTGTCTTTTAGAAAATTTTAGACATTTGCAATGGTAGCCTTGCCAGTTCCCAAGGTCCTGGGATGTTTTTTAGTACCTGCTATGTATATTTAAAATTTCTTCAGTTTTCAGGATGTTGA